CAGCCATCGTGGTGGCAGCCGTGGCCACGAAAGGCAACCCGATCATCGTGACGAACCTGCTGATGTTGATGCTGATTATGATGACCATTGATGGTTTGTAATAATTAGTTTATTAACATTTTAAGGATTTTAAAATTTTGATGTGTTAATGTATGAATATTAATTATTTATGTTTTATAATGATGGTTTGATTAGATTATTATTTATTATGATACCTAATGTGTAATGGTGATTAATGATGATTAATGATGATTGTTTAATTATTTATTATAAACAATTATTTATTAAGATTATTGTTTAACTATTTATTATTAAGTTTAAATTTTTGAAAAAGCGCCTAAATTTTAATGGTTATTATTTATTAAATAAACTTTTGAAATAAACTTTTAAATTTGCGCTGAATTTTTAAAATTTTTTTTTTAAAAAATTAAACTTTTGTCACGGATTGTTCCGTGACAAAATATTTTAAAGCTCAAAATTTTAAATACGGAAAATGCTGAAATAACGTATTTTTTTTATAAAAAAAAATGTTTTGTCACGGATGGGATCCGTGACAAGTTCAAAATTTTGAATTTTCTGAAAATTTTAAAGCTCCCGCCCACTCTATTCTAAAATTTTCAAATTTTTTTCGAAATATTTTGTCACGGATATGTCCGTGACAAATTTTAAAATTTGAATTTTCCGGACCGTTTCAAATATCCGCCCACTCTATTTTGAAAAACCTTTTTTTAATTTGTCACGGATATTTCCGTGACAAATAATTATTTTTTTTTGAAAAATAAAAAAATTTATTCGCGGATGCGTCCGTGACAAATGAAAGACGGTGGGGTTCCGGTGAAGTGATTTGTCACAGACGGGATCCGTGACAAATCCGTGACAAACAGTCTCACGGATTAATTTCCGTGACAAAAACTTTATCACGCCCCTGGTGTCACGGATTTTTTCCGTGACAAATCCGTGACAAAAAACCATTTGTCACGGATTTTTTGAACTACCGTCCGTGACAAAATCCGTGACAAACAGCGTGTTTTTTTGTAGTGTGTAATCGTTTTAAATGTCGTCGTGTATGTATGTTTATGCTAAAAATAAATTATTCTATAAATATGAATGAATTGGGAATCGAATAAAGATGAATCGATAATTCAATAATCAATCAAACGAAAATAAAGTAAATGATGCTATAATATTTGGTCGTTCGAGCAGTAGAGATGTACGTGAGAATATGATAAAAACTTATGTTACATCATTTGCTATCTAATCTATTTATTCTTTAATTTTCCTCTTCTCCAAGTCTTGCAACGTGCAGGCTATTTTTTCTCCACTTTGACCCACTACTAACTTATTCTTTGAACTTATCCCCATTCTGTTGGCTTCCATCAATCATTACCTAAAGTGCTAATATTTTTACTTCATTTGGGCTATTTATTCTACCCAAATAATCTAATCCACCGGCCCACTTGTAAGGCAACTTCTTTGGGCTCAACAATTGCCCCCTTTCGAAAAGTTAAGACATATGAACGCACATACCAACCCGTTAAGCATCAACTTTTCGAAATCTTGGAAACATCTATACCTGTCAGCATCCTTGAATATTGCCCATAGAAACTCATCATCCATCTGATGAAACATGTTGTCAACCAATCATTCGTATAACAAGACGCTTTTGTCAACTTGTCACTTTTCTGACGACATGTTTCCTTCAACCCGTCACTTATCTGATGAGACGACTTCGTTAATTTCCATGCAAGCAGTTTCTGATCTAATCCGTCTCTTTGACTATAGCGACGAAGAACGAAAGCTGATCTCTTATCATCGTTCTCCGAATTTATGCTAATGGTCATAACTAGGCAATGTTGACGCGTTGAAACTTCGTCCGACGTGTTGAAACTTCGTCCAGGTCGACGTCGACATTTCTAGGGATGTCGACATGTCTGGGATGTTGACATGTCCAATGCAAGAAATGGCGAGCCAGGTTGCATGAACGTAATCAAAATCCTACAAAAACTTTAAATTTTGTTTCGTTTATGAATATTTATGATTTATGTCAATGTCGTTTGTATTGTCTCCTTATGTTTTGGAGCGTATGTCGTCATGCTTTTGGAGCACATGCTTCTGTTGTGTATTTCTGTAGTTTTGGCCAAAACGTTGCGGAGATTCGGTGGTGTTTATATTCATGTTTAACGTACATGAAAACCCCACTTCTTCCCCTAAAATTCTGTAAGCCCCCCGTCAATTGTGTTTTGACGTGTTGTAAGGGTTCATCTCATGTAAGCCCCGTCAATTGTGTTTTGACGCGTTGTAAGGCTTTGTATGACGTAAGTGAGGACATTATCTCATCCATTGTCAATTGGTGATTGTTCTTGTGTAAAAAAGAATTTGCCAACGTCGGCCGTCGACTAGAATCCAACGACCCTCCGATGCTTAAGTTAGTGGTTGTTTATAGATAAATGAAAGTAATAAATTAAAAGTATGTATACAAAACTAGACAAATGCTTATCATCAGGACTTGTCTGCAATGAGACGATTTCAATCATGTCGTCAGGTTTAACATAGGAAGACATGCCTCCTCGTACGATGATTTTAGTCACGTCGTCTGATAATTTGTTCCTCATGTCTCGAATATGGGTTTCTACGCTTGCAATCATGCCTCCTAGGACATTCTGATTTCCCATGCCCCGCTTCATGCTCAATCTGTCTTCGACGGGATCGTAAGTCTTCTTCTAGACGGATGAAAGTCAACGTCTTTGCTTGGACATCTTCGAAGGACCGACAAGGGTATTTCATTAGTTCGTGGTACAGCTCTGAATCTTCATACAAACCTCTTCTGAATGCCTCAACGATGGTAGAGACGTCACATTTCGGGATCGACACCTTCTCTTTGTTGAAGCCTTAGAGGTAGTCTCTTAATGACTCGTTCTGCTTTTGGACTACTCGGTAGAGATCGCTGGTTTGCTTCTGTAGAACCCGACAGCTTGCAAATTGCTGATTCAACAGATTGACTAACTCCGCAAACGAGTTGATGCCTTCATTTGGTAGGTTGACGAACCATGTCAACGCTGGCCCTATCAATGTCATCCCAATGCCCTGCACATACAAGCCTTCCCCTGTTCTTGTCTGACAGAGACGACAAGCATCTGTTGCTTGTATAGAGCGACATGTTCCAGGGGGTCGGTAGTTCCATCGAATAATCTCATTGAGGGGGCAGCAAACTTTCTTGGAATCTCGATGTTCGTGATATGTCGTCCGAAAGGGGAATTTGTGTAGCAAGTCTGTGAAGCGACGTCCATTGGTGGTGGAACCCCAGGAATGCCATTGATCTTCGATCTCATTTCCCTCAGCGCTTCCATGATGACGGCTAAGGGGTCTGTTGGATATGCTTGCATCTGTCTTGTCGTCGAGGTTGGTGACATCATTGCTTGGGTTGCCTCCTGCCTGGTTGGCGATGGTATCATGATGACTTCAGGCTCTTGTTGTCTCTGGTTGTTGATGTCGACATGTCGAGGGATGTCGACACGGTTTGGAACTCATCGTCTCTGAGGTTCCGGAAATAGACTCTGAAACGTGTTCCTTCTGGGATTCTGCGACATGACCGTGGGTTGATGATTGTCGGCCGGTGATAACCCCAACGTAAGAGATAACGAGTCTGTCGTATTGGTGAGTGGTTCGGTCGAGATTGGAATGGGGTATAAATCCAACCTCGTTGCTGCTGTCATGGTGTCACCTCTTCGGTTAAATCTTGAGTCGGAAGCTATGGACGCCACCGAGTGCACTTGAGAGCGCAATACGTCATTTTCTCGCTGGAGAAGAGCAATCCGCTAAGCCATTTCACGCCGGATTTCTTCCTTGGCGGTTTCAAGTTGCTCGTGAAATTCTACTAGCAAGGGATTTGTGCTTCGGCCATGATTGATTCTTCTTTGTGCGAATTCCCACAGACGGCGCCAAATTATTTATACTAAAAACAAACTATTCTAGAAATATGAATGAATTGGGAATCGAACAAAGATGAATCAGTAATTCAATAATCAATCAAACGAAAATAAAGTAAATGATGCTATAATATTTGATCGTTCGAGCAGTAGAGATGTAGGTGAGAATATGATAAAAACTTATGTTACATCATTTGCTATCTAATCTATTTATTCTTTAATTTTCCTCTTCCCCAAGTCTTGCAACGTGCAGGCTATTTTTTCTCAACTTTGACCCATTACTAGACTTATTCTTTGAACTTATCCCCATTGTGTTGGCTTCCATCAATCATTATCCGAAGTGCTAATATTTTTACTTCATTTGGGCTAATTACTCTACCTGTATAATCTAATCCACTGGCCCACTTGTAAGGCAACTTTTTTGGGCCCAACAATGTATTAATGAAACTTTTTAAACAAAAAATAGATGCATAAACCTATAAAAGCGAAAAAAGTCTCCACGCTACACTAGCGGAAAAATTTCACGCCCTACGTTCAAGAAAAAAATTTCATCCCTGGACTATAAACCTTGGAAAACGTGATGTTGGTTAATAAACATTGATGGCCGGTTTTTGAAATGGCGATACGTAGATGTGAAATTGTCGTGTCAAAAGCATATTGGGCCCAACAAAAGCATTAAATCATCATAAATGACACTCAAAGCTTTCATACAAAAAATGTATTTTCATAAAACACAAGATATATACTACCCCGTCCTTCCAAAAAACTTTGTCATTTTCAAAACTTTGACCGAGTATATCTTTTTATTGAAAATTACTTATTATAATATAAAAATTATATGAAAATGTTCTTTGTTAAAAGTACTTTCATAAAAGTATAAAATTTATAATTTCCATAATATTATACTAATCAAAATCAATGTTCAAATTTTTTGAAATGACAAAATTTTTTGGGACGGCGGTAGTATATGATTGGATTGATCATATAAAGAGTTTCTATGATGGAAAAGTTACTACATACACATACACATAATACCTAACAGTGAAAATACACTACAAAAAAAAAAGGAAATTTCATGTCTGTTCCAAACTCGTTATTGTTTGCAATGTGAAGCACACAATGCATGCATGTGGAATTTAACAACTTATTTTTTGTTGTTGAATAGTAGAATACTATAATTAATTATAGCTCATCATGTGCAACCACTGGGGGTGGGGGTGGGGGTGGGGGTCTTATTGGTATGTGTGTTGAGCATATATCTTCCACAGGAATAGGACTGCCGCCATTGCCGTGACGTAAGTTATTCAGAAAGTTAAAGAACCTCCCGGCCGACTCCTTCGGAGTTCTTGTCAATTCTTTGCTGTTGCGGTCGACGCTATACAACCCCATCCTTACTGTAAATCCGGTTGCCCATTCAAGGTTGTCCGTTAATGTCCAAACAAAATAACCTTCCACCCTAACCTTGTATTCACTGCATACAAAAGTATCTTAAAAAGTGGCCGGAGTAACCAATTCCGACCTAAAACTATATATTATTAAATAAAAATTGATAAATAAAGTGCAAAAAAGAAACACATATTTATTACTCCCTCCGTTCCTAAATAAACTTCCAACTTTCCTTTTTCGTCCGTTCCAATTAAAACTTCCACTTTCCCTTTTTGGTAAAGAATTTGTGGTTCACAACATTTTTTACACATTTCTCTCTCCTCTGCACAACTCTCCATCACACAATATTCACTATCTTAAACTTTGTGCCAAACGCATTTGGAAGTTAAAATCGGAACAGAGGTAGTACTCCGCAGTATCTTTTAATTAAAAAAGTCAGCCCTGCACGTAGGCATCTCCCCCAGGGCCGGCCCAGACATATAGAAGGCCCTGTGCAAAATTGAAAATGAGGCCCTAAGTTTTTTTTATCATTATATAATCATTATTATATTATTACTTTCACCGTTTTTAAATAATAGTGTCCTTAGGTTTTTTGTGGGTTTTAAGATGAAAATAGTAGGCCCTAAAGGTAAATGAAAAGTAGAAAAGAGAATAAATTAAGAAAAGTAAAGTAATGACAAAGTATGAAAAAGAAAGTAGTTACAAGCTCGTTCCAAACTGTACGAGGGTTTTGTGCTAAATAATGTAATTAGGCCTTGTGAAATAAAGAAATCACACAATTGTAATTAACAATTGTACTTTAATTACATAAAAATATTACTATTTAATGTTTGTATTTTAAAAAAATAATAATATAGGATTTTTTAATCAAATAAATAAAGATTTATTATATTATATAGACTATATTTAAATTTTTGGGCCTTCTGAAATTGAGAAGCCTTGTGCGGTTGCACTTCTTGCACGCCCTCATCTACGACCCTGATCTCCCCAAGGCAAGGGTGTATAAGGGGCAAGCATTCTGCCGTCAAATTTGTGACAATGCGTAGCTCAGCTCCCAATTCCCAAGACTTGAATATGTGACCTCTCCGTCTCTCAACAACACATTACTCGGCGCGTTAAGGGTAAAGGAACATGTATTGACTTAAAATCAAAATATATACGGAGTATATTACATTCGTCCCATTTTATGTATTCTTCTTTGTTTTGGCGCAATTGTTAATAAAATGGTTAGAAATATAAAAGTCGTAGTTGAAATTCGAGTATATTAAACTAAAATGTTGTAGACCACATATTTTTTCCAAAAAAGGGAATGTGAGACTTTTTTTGGGACAACTCAAAAAGGGAAGTAAGACAACTATAAAAACACTATTTATGCTAGTATGCTATAAGGATGCTTTTAATTTGACAAATTCAATTGTTGATCATATCGGACTTGAACAAATTAAAACGGAATTCGACAGTTGTAAAATACACATAAAGTAGACATATATTGGACCAAATCAGTTTAGATCAGAGTCACTGGGCGTAAATAGACCAGATCAAATTTGACAAGAAAACTTTGGTCCAATTAAAAATATCTTAAATAAAACTAAACACAAATTAAATATGAAAGTTTTAAAATATAAGCACATACGGAGTATCTGTTTAAATATTGCTTAAAATGTGAAACCTGAATTTAGATCCCCAATGCCTTCTTTCCGACCTAGCTTGGCCGGTGTTCTAAAGTTTAAGCTAAATTTCAAGTTTATGTGGTGCGTCACATTGCTCTAACACATACAAAAGGTTTGTTGAAATAGTGTGTTTTGTGCCATTTTTTATGGTTGTAAAAAGTGGTAGGATGGTTGAGATTTGTGCACAAGAGAGAGAAATTACAGAAAACGCAAAATAATTGATTAAAACGGGAAAATTGAAAAGTTTTTTAGGACATCTCAAAAGAGAAAGATGACAAAGTTTTAAGAGATAAAGATAGTATACGATAGTAGGTTCTATATTCTGCCAAATTCACTTCAAAACTCCGGACATAGCCGCATTCGGACATTCCTTCCCATCAGCTAGGAGGAAGAGGATAACCAAGTTGAGATAGGGTCAGAGAGGAGATGGGGAGGACGGAAAAAATAAATCGGTGTAAGAAAAAAAATCAACTTAAAATTAAATCGAAAAGTCAATTAAATTAATTATTGAAAAGAACGACGCAAAAAATATGCCACAAAAAATGCAGTGCTTTTCAATAATTTATTAATTAATTTCCCGGTTAAATCTTAAGCTCAAATTTTGTGGACATGTGAACATTCTTACAAAATTTCATCAAAAAAATCTACCCCGAATCACCTTGAACGGGCTTGGCCGTACGGAATTCCGAAGTTCCAGCCAGTCAGCGGAGATGTATGAGAATATTCCTATAACACAAATTGGCTATTTTTAATATATACTTGTACTATCGTATATCTAAGTTATTGGACTAACCAAATGGCTCGACGGAGATTGTAAAGATGACCTCCATGGTAGTCTATCCTCCACTGATCATTAAGTGTTTCTTGACGAGAGAGATTCACGGCATCACCGATTCCTGCATATAGTACGTGCATTTAACTTTTACATATGTGTGTTTGTATGTGTGTGTTTTTAGGGCAATCCATGAAGACTTTAGCCCAGATTTTAAACCTTATACATTAGACTTTGGACTACTCCTCCTGTCAGGATGTTTTAGAATGAAATCTCAAGACTTATATGGTGTTTTATAACCAAACATTCCAACTCAACTGATTGTGAGGTTATCGTGCCTAGTGGAAGGTCTTGAGTTTGAAACCCGCTAGGCACGTAAGGGTTTGAAACTCAATGGAGTGAGTTTCAACACTGATTACTCCAGACCTCCCCAGCCCCCTCCCCCAGATCCAATGGTGTTTTATTGTTTTATAACTTTCGGTACAAGAAAAATACTCTATCGGGTACAACTTGCTATAAAAGGCAGGAATGCGGGAACTTGCCGTTTTCAGTGATATAGATAATTGGATCTTTGTAGGTATCTTTGGTATATCTCAGTACATCCAGGATTCCTTTTGGGTACACAAACAACCAGTCTGGAGTACCCTACAAATGTATTCATTCAAATAATCCACAAATTTAGTAATAAAGGGTTTAGTAATTAATATATGATGCATTATAATATATCCATTCTAATTTAAAAATGTTGTATATTAAGACCAACCTGTTCACCTATGGCTTTCCCATCCTTGTAATCTGCAAATTAAATAAGAATAAAAATATTATCATACTACGTATTAACTAATTAAAAGTTATATTGCTAAGTACTCCCTCTCCATCTTCGTAGTAGAAATCGAGCGACATTAAATTAACCATTGATGGTTAGCTAGGAGTGCTTTTTTTATGGATGCTTTTGGCATTAAGCTTCATGATTATTTTCTATTTTGATAATACTGACAAATATTTCCCGGCATTTATCTCATTTTTAGATGATTTTCCATTAGGACAAAAAAAATGTGTACTCAGTCCATCAAGTTTTGTGATAGATTTAAAAGATGGTAATGCCAAAATATTACTCCCTAGCTCCATGCCCGGGGGAATCACCGAATTGTGTTTTACTTGAATTGGAAAATCAACTTTGACCAATTATTTTTTTAATAGAAAATCAATTTGAATATGAAACTTGTATCCAAATGTTCTGGGCTTCAAAATATTTTCATAAAAGATAAACATTAGTGTCCAAAATTTGACATCATTGACCAAGAAAATTGAATATGATTAACGTATGCATTGGTAAATAAATGATCTTTTTTGGAAATCACACATTTCATTTTGTGAAAAGTAATTTAAACCTGAGCTGAGGATATCATCAATAAATTAAAGCAGTTGCAAAAGGTAGGGTACTTACCGGTTAAATTAACACGCGTATCAGTTGTAGCCCTAATATGGGTTGGATTAGAGTCAGGGGTGAAATTGGAAGAAGCATAGGAGGAAGTGTATGAGTTTATGCCGATAAAATCGTAGGAGTTTTTAACCATCAATTTTTGCTCCCACGTAAATTCGGGCAACCTTGCCCCAACTAATCTCCTCATCGATTCTGGATAGTGACCAAAGTTTATGGGATCCATAAACCTGTTTCAATCATAATAATTAATTAATTAATTAATTAATTAATTAAGAGCTTTACATGATAATATTATAATGAATGAGTTACTTGTTTTTGGATTAAGGATGTTTTTACTTGGATTAAATTTTTCTGATTTGGTCTGGTGGTCTGATTTGGTAGATATTTGGTTTGTATCATTTGTTCTGGTTTGGATTTGAAATAACTCCAGTTAAAACATTCTAATTGCTTATACTTTGAGAAAAAACCCACTAAATAGACAGGTCTTTTTTTATTATAGATGTGTTGATTTTCTCATTGTTACATTTGTTGGAAAACTAAAACAGTAGTTATTCTTATATTTTTTTGGAAGAAGTAGTTATTCTTTTATTAAAAAATCATACAGATAAACAACATTATGTCTTCACAAAACATTAATTATTCTTTTATGGTGAGCAGAGAAGGTGGATTTTCATAGAGTATATACTTATAGATCGCTAAGAGCATCATCAATGTCATGCAGTGCGCACCATTTATATGTGATATAAGAGATATAGACACAAAAATTTAAATTAATGAGATCTATTTTTCTTTTCTTTCTATAGTCTTCTAGTATATTTTTAACAACAATGTCAAGTGCAATGTCACATCTAGATGTTTTTTTCGACATCATGGAGAAAATAGTTACCATAAATGAATAATACTACGTACTTTCAAGTAAGGAGAGAGATGTTATAAATTATTACTCATATTTTTAATGGGTTTATCTCTCTCATGTTATATATTATATATGTACTAAACACATTATTCAATTGGAGATGCCCTATATTAGTAAGTTGGACCACACGCTCTTGCTTGATTTGTTTATATTTGAGGAAATTCTTTAAAACAGTGAATATAATCGTGTTTCTCAAATAAAAGTATATTATTTTAATCCTAAAATAATATCAAGTATTTGTTCAGTCATGTTGTTGGATTTCTTTTATTTTTCATTTTCTAATAAGACCATATATATGAGTTGTATTTTGAAAACACACACACACATACTCCTATTTTTGAACTTTGTCCGTGTTTGACTCCTATTTTAAGCAATTTATTGTCATTTATCCAGTATTATCATAGGAAAAATTCCTGAAATATGAGTAAAAACGTTTGAAATTTCAAAATAAGACGATCACATTTTCCCCCCTAAATAAGAGTAATTATTGCTAAACTTGGAAAATACTGCCAAGTTTAAAGCCTGATACTGCTAAAACATGGTACTCCCTCCGTCCCATATTTAACTCCGGTTTTGACCGGGCACGTGTTTTAAGATAGTGAGATTTGTGTGGTGGAGAGTTATGCAGAGGAGAGAAAATGTGTAAGAATGGTTGTCAACCACATATTCTTTACCAAAAAGGGAAAAGGAGATAAATTTGGGACGGACCGAAAAGGAAAGAATGAAGATAATTCCGGGATGGAGGGAGTAGTATTTACTCATATTTAAGGAATAAAAATATAATAGTCCCATTTTGGAATACACGAACGTTTATTGTTCTATTTAGGGAAATTTTCCTTATTCATATCAACTTTGCAATGGATCGGAAAAATGATTGTCAACCAAAAACAATACGTAGTACTATCGTTCGGTTCGGTTTAAAGCAGTTTGGAAGAAATGCTACCCAACTCAAAGTCTCAAACCAAATTGTATGTGATTCGGTATCAATTCGGGTTTGTTCAACTTGGTACGACTTGGTTGGGTTAAACCAAACCAATATGACCACTCTGATATCAACTACTACCTTCGTCCCACTATGTTTGTCTCATTTTACTTTATCGGTTCGTTCAATTAAGATTGTTTCATACTAAATTTGGTAAAGTTTGTGTGACTTTAAATCATTCTTACTTTATTCTTACTTTATCAATTCAATATCAACCACATAAATCACTTTTTATTGATTTGCATGATACGATTGTTACCCTTTCTTATCTCATCGTTAAGCGGAGCAGGGAGTAGTAACTTTTGAAGGGAGTAAAGAAGAGTCTAACCAGCCAAATTTGAAATCAAGGCTGCGATGAGCAGCTTCAATATCATCGTGGCTATCGGTAAGAGGTACAGTCCACGTCACATCAAGAGTTATTCCAATCCTGTCGGTCGATCCTAATTTCTTGTACTACGTACAATCATAAGAATTCAAAGCTGTGATTAATTTGTCAACAAATTCACAATTTTGTAATAATTGGCAACCATTCTTGATGTACACACCCTTGTACACACTTTATACACATAATGTTTGTGAAGTTTTTTTTTGTCTGTGAATCCGGTTCACAGACAATATTTTTTTGTGCAAAACATTGTCTGTGAATCGATGTTCACAGACAAAAAAAAAAACTTTCACAGACATAGGTGTGTACAAAAGTGTGTATAAGAGTGTGTACAAAAATCATCATTTTTGAATAAGTTGTGCCGACATATTACTCTCGCCGTACCATGGATCATAATTTAAGAAAGTGAGAATAAAATGAAAATGTATGATTATGAATGAGCAAGAAAAAAGTACATGTCGGTCATACAATTTTTTCCAAAAGTGAAATTTGAAAAATCTTTTGAAACATCTCCAATGCTACAATGTGCACAGTGCACATGTGGCATGAGAGATAGACACAAAAAATTAAATTTATGACATTTCTCTCTCCTTCTTTCCACGATTTTGTGTGTTTTGGTAAGTTTTTCTCAACAATGTCAACCACAATGTCTACATCTAGACATTGTGTTTGACATTATAGAGAAAAACTTACCAAAAACATATAAGACCGTTCAAATAAGGAGAGAGATATTCTTTTCGTTATTTTTAATTGGCTATCTCTCGTACCGCATATGCATCATTCACGTTTTTGCATCGGAGATGCTCTTATACTCCGTAAGCGAAACACAAAAAATTATAAAGGAGAAAACAATTTGTGCATTGCTTACTCATACGTCTAAGTTACATAGCGAGCCCGATATATAAACCCAAAATATATAGAAAAAATCCTTAAATAAATAATAAAGTGCATAAATTGATATCATTATTTATCACTAAAATGGGACTCATTGACTCTTAATTGGAGAAATTTTATATCGCTCTAAATATATATAAAAAATCATTCTTTTCTTTTCTTCCCGATGGAACTTCAATAGCCGGTGGCATACCTTTGTCCGGTACAAGTTGACGGCCTGAGCATGAGCGAGGATGAGATGATGGGCGACGATGTAAGGTTCAGTAGATGAGTCTCCGGCGGCGCATGCCCGATTCACCCATGACGAACACCTCCCTGGTGCAGAATTACCAGCTTCATACCCTCCCATACTAAACTCATATGGTTCATTCAGTGTTATCCAGTGCTTCACTCGGTCCCCGAATCTTTCAAAGCAAAGTTCTGCGAAATCCTTGAAATCACCCCTGTAATATATACAATATGTGTGTATGATATTCATACATGTATCGCGGTTATTAAAGTACTTACTCTATCCCATATTTGTTGAGAAGTACAATAAAAATAAAAAAACATTTATAAAATATGATTACCGTTATTATGAGTACAATGTAGTATCTAAATATAATAATAATCGAACAAGATTTATTATGATTAAAGTTACTACTATAATCACCACCCTTAAGAGGTCGCATATTAATAAACAAACTATTATAGTCATAAACAAACTTAATATTTTGGAATATACCAATTAAACGTCTTGTTGTTCACTTTTAAGGAATAATTTGTATGGTGAGAACTCTGTCATGTTTAGAAAATAATGTCATGTTTGAAGTCTGGTGGTACTGTCAAAACATGACAATAATTACTCTTATTTTGAGAATAAAAACATGACAATCCTATTTTGGAATTTCCAAACTTTTTTAGTCCTATTTCAAGTAATATTCTCTTATAGGTATGCGGCGGCGCTTACACTATTCTAGAGCTCAAGAAGCCACCATACTTGTCTTCAAGAGCTTGAGGAACATCCCAATGGAATATGGTCACAAATGGCTCCAATCCTGACACATATACCGCTATCTTTAGTTTATCTAGCTAATTAACATAACATATTCTGAAAGCAAATAAAGTTAATCAAATAAATACAAGAAACTTAATTTACGAATAAAAATGTGACAAAATATTTATTGTACAAATTCTATCGACAAAAACAATACGAAATTCCAAATTTAAAACTCGTTCGTACCATTCATTTTTGCTTCATCGATGACTCTATTGTAATATGCAATCCCTTCTTCATTTACTCCTTCACAAACTCTTCCACCTGCTCCACGTACCATTTTTAATGAGATGCAATACTTATAAACTTCTCCAGCATATTAGCATATATATATATATATATATATATATATATATATATATATATATATATATATATATATATATATATATATATATATATATATATATATATATATATATATATATATATATATATATATATATATATATATACATTTTTCTTACTGATGACGACCTTAAAACCAAAATGGGAAGTAAAGAATTGAAATATAAAAAATATTTATTAAGTATATATCTTAGATACATAATAATTATAATATTGCTGACCATTATCACTTTCACTAAAAATTTGAGAACTTACTAGGGATCACTCTTGGCCATGAAATGGAGAATCTGAAAGCATTCATTCCAAGCCCCTTGCTCACTATCCTGATATCTTCCTGAATATAATACGGAGTATATCATTAGTTCCCATACATTACGTCACTTTAACACTAGCTAGATGTATTATTGAATTGGTAATATTTCCAAATACATGTACGTACGATGTTACGTACACATGTGCATATAATACACATTTATAATACTGTACACTATATGTTGACTATGAGAACTATTCTTTCCGTTAGAAAACAGAAAAAACCTAAAATGATAGTATAATATAATGCACAATTCTCAAATATATCACATGATTTATTTTCATTTCTCTATGATGGAGTATTAACTCCTAGAGAGAAGGGAGAGGTAGAGAGCGAAGTGATATGTATTAAATGAATTTTTTTCTAAGATCCTTTACAATGAAGGAGGTGCTAGCTATTTATAGTTGCCATAAATGCTAGGTGCAATAAATGAGGGCACATGTGGCAAATAACCAACGGTGGCGAGTCGATTCAGCCGGGGTGGCACCGGCATAGCATGTGGCCGTAGTTAATGCGGTGGTTGATAGCATGTGGCTGCAGTTAATGCGGTGGTTGGACGTGATACCGCATTTAATGCGGCGATTCAGACCATATGGAGAGGAGATCATGTCGAGGAGAGTGCCGAAGGTCGTACGTCCCCTAAAGCCTTCCTGTGATGAAGGGTGTACGTCCCCTGGGGCATCAATGTGCCTGGAAGACGTACGTCCCCTGTGGTAAAGGCCGCACATAGGTTGATGCCGTCATGTGTTGGAGGTCGTACGTACCCCGGAGGACTCTAATGTGCTGGAGGACGTACGTCTCCTGAGGCCTTTATGTGCTGGAGGACGTACGTCCACTGAGAGCTTCCATGTGATGGAGGACGTACGTCCCCTAGGGGCTTCCATGTGTTGGTGGATGTATGTCCCCTGGGGGCTTCCATGTGATGGAGGACGTACGTCCCCTGAGGGCCTCATGTGATGGAGGACGTACGTCCCCTGAGGGCCTCATGTGCTAGAGGACGTACGTCCCCTTGGGGCGTCATTTGCTGGAGGACGTACGTCTCCAGGGGCACTCATGGGCCTTGTTTGCTGTGTTTGGGCTACTTGAGCCTGTTGGGTCTGATCGTAGTAGTGGAAGTATGTGGGCCGGAGGTTCCTGAGTCATATACTCCACTCTAATTCTCAAATATATCGCACTGTATGAATTTATTTCATTTCTCTACTTAAATCACTTTCTCATTTGACCAGGTTCTCAACGCTATTAGCTTTTCAATTAATGAGGTTGTCTTTAGTCCAACTAATCTAGTATCCCTACTTCACAAAGTAAGAAAATTTTGAATGTTTATGGCATCTTATATAGTTCATCATTTCTATTATTTTGATTTCATTCCATTTATTTCAAATTTGGAGAAATGTGTAGATGTTATATTGGGTACGAAGTATAATTTTATGAGCCATCTGTCCCTCTTGGCGGCGCCAGCAGTGGCGGTGGTTCCGGCACCGGCAGTGGCGACGGTGCTGCAGTATGCGGTCATAGAACTACTAATCAAATATATAAAATGAATATTTGGACAAAAGTTATATTGAAAAAATATAAAAATTTAAAAATGAATTAGTACTTCAATTTTATTCTCTCTATGATTTAGTACAAATATAAAAAATTTAAAAACGAAGTAATTTCATTCTCTCTATGAATTAGTACTTCAATTTTATTTATTTATTTATTTAGTTTTCTAGTGTTATGCACATTGTTAGAAATACTTTTAGGCTAATAACTTATCTTAGTATATATGTACGCACCATATAAATCATATTCATATATGTTAACTTTTTTGTCTTTATTTGATATGTTAGATATGTGTGTGTGTTTGCTATTTATTATCCCAACTTTAATATGCATATTTCTTCAATACTAACTTGGAAAAATTAAGAGATATTAGAGATTTTTACATAAATATTATCAATAGCATATGGGGTTACAAAAAAGTTACTATTAATATGGAGCACATAGGGCATCATGAGAGTAAGTTAGAAAAAAAAGTCATATTTTTGTTAGTGGGGTTTAAAGTAATAATATTTGTGTAATTTTTTCAAAAATTAAATATTTTGTGCATTGCACGGATATTAATTATACTCCATACTACAGAGTACGGAGTAGTATTTAACATATCACGTCCAGCGAATCTCCACGTACCACAAAAACAACTATATTGTGTGAGCAAAATATATCTTAAAAAGTATATATATAATAATCAACGTGACATTAGAGCACATTATGCAACTCCACTTGCTCCATATAGTTTGCCAAAAATAAGATATATATTCCTCTAAATTAAAGGAAAAAATTGTAACTTTTCAAAAAAGAGTACCAAATTTTCTGCAAGGAATCATTATTATTGTCATGTTTAATTTATAAAATGCCATCAATTATGACAATGTCATTGTCAAAGTACTGCAGTGTAATTTCAGGATGATAATAGGTTGCTAATGCGTGATATTTAACGTAAAAACGTAGTACTTGAAATCAAATTGTTTTTATTTATGTTTCGGAAAATAACTCCAAGTCCATGTACGTTAATGAATGTAGTAGCATGTATATGTATATATACATACTCTGTACTTGTGATAAAAATCGACAGCAACGTCTCCATTGCTTCCATCTGTTATTCTCTCTGCAAATTAAAAAAAAAACAAATAACTCAAAATATTGTAAATTACGGAAAAAGTGTAAGAGTAAAATTATTATTTTTTCTCAAAATATGACTTAATTAGTCCATAGAAGATTAAAATAATTAACACTTTCTCTTCTCTCTTATTGAGTCATCATTATTTTGAGCGAGGAAGGCGGATCAACTTAACCAAGCATACCATATTTCACTCTATCTTATTTAAAAAAAACCTCAAATAAAAATGATTTCTATTAAAAGGACATCATGTCACATCAAGTCTATAGTGTACTCGTATATACTTCTATATTGAGTAATTTTGGTTGACGTAATAAAATCATGAAGAGTTAAATTTAAGATAAACAAAACATAAATTTAGAAAATATGTGCAAAATCTAATCTCCGCTTCATAAAAATCAGCCAAGTTTGACTAGTACGTGTCGTATATAAGCAAATAAAAGGAAGCACTCGGTGGTATGGTACATCCTATTTGGCATTGTTTTAGGGGAAAAAAGATATACGGAGTAAAGTCATATTTTGAGAAACACAATGTTTTGATCACACAAGGGACAATTTTGTCTAAATAGCAGGCGCGTAGGGAAGTGGCAGGGTCAGGCGCGTAGGGAAGTGGCAGGGTCAGGCTAGTTCTCGGTCCACTCCAAATTTGTATAAAAATCTTGATTATATATATGCTTATAATTTTTTTGTGTAAAATTTTAAATCTCAACTTTTTACCAAGTCAATCCCGTTTTTACCTCTAGCTATGTATGCCCCTCTTAGTTCTAGTCCACATATTTTCATGCATGCACAAAGAGAGGATGACATTCCATCCATGAGGCCTCCAGCACCGACCGGACGGTACGTTGGGAGTATGTAAATTGTAAACTGGACTATAATCACAATTTGACAGATAGAGAGTGAGGCTCTGTCCTCGATACTTGCAAAGAGCATTTTAATTTTAGCATAGTAACCTCTCATCGTAGTTGCCGGGATTCGAACCCGGAAACTAACTCTTGAGGCACTCTCTCGCTATCGGTTGAGCTACGCCCACCGTTCATGCATGCACAAAGAGAGGAATAGGGAGAAACCTGGATGCTCATGTGTAAATGTATCCCAGATACTGGGTCCTTTACCACTTTTGTTGTGTTCTCCTTCAACCTAATCAAATACGAGCATGTATTTTATACTCCGTACTTTGTATGTACACACATATATATATATATATGTGTGTGTGTGAATATACATGCACGTGTATGTTAAGTGTTGAGCAATATCTACCATATATATTTGCATAAAACGTGGTAACGATCTGAGATTGTAAATAAATGATTTTTTGTAAAAATTAAATATTTCGAATTTCATATGTCAGGCAAATTTTTATTTGAACATCATATATATGCCTTCAATTAGAAATTGTTCTTGATATGAGTAAAAACGTTTTGAAATTTCAAAATAGAATCCTCATGTTTTTATTCTCAAAATAGTCATGTTTAAAACCTGGTAATGTCAAACTTGGAAAAGATTACTCCTATTTAGGGAACAAAAACATGACAGCCTTATTTTGGAACTTCAAAACGTTTTTACCCCATTTAGGGTATGTTTGGGAGTTTGGAAGGAAAGAAAGGGAAAGACTTCGAGGTATTTTGTTGGAGGGGAGAGGGAGTGAAGGGTGAGGAAACTCTCTTTTGTATTTGGGAGTAATAAAGTTGGAAGATGGAGGTTTTTGAAGGAATTATATTTAAAATCACTTTGAGATATGACGAATTCAAATCATTGAGCTAATATTCATTTTTAATTTAGCTTAAATTACCATATTGTTAATTATCTTCCAAAACCCTCCAAATTGGGGGAACTTAAAAATTAAGCATTTTTAGGGTTTTGAAGGGTTACAAAAGCCCTCCAAAACCATCTCCTCCGATTTTTTAAACTCTCAAACATAAAAATGAGGGTTATAAACCCCATCAACCTTCCCCTCCCCTGCAAAACTCAACTCCCAAACACACCCTTAGGGAATCTTCCCGCGTTGAAATGATAAGCATGAAAAGGAAAAGTGGTGTGTGTTTTCTTATGGTTAAAACACAGCCAGCGTGCTGCATAAAGCCATAATAAAATTGATAATTACTAACTAATCTTATAGAAGAATTGTAAGGCAGGCAGGCAGGCAGACATACTTGAAAAGCAGCGATAGCTGTTCCAAAATAGAACTGAGGAGGAAAATGAAGGCTCTGAATCTCAATAGGTAAGAAAGGGTAATTAGGGTCGGCGTTTGCTTCAATATAAGAATAATCTAGCAAGCCTGCCAATAACACTAATATTAGCAATCCTAATACTGGAGAGCTTTTGGTCTTTGTCATCATCATAATATGTTTATGATATGATGCACCACCCCGGACACTAGATATATAGACATACAAAAATGTGTATATCTTTAAGCCACATGGCCGGGTAGCGCACCCGAATCTGGTGCTCCTTGGGGCCTAGCCTAATATCAGTATTTGACTTTTTTTTAGCGTAGAAAAAAGCTTTATCGATAAAAGAAACATAATACAAAAGCTAATGAAGGTAGAAAATAAATGGAAAAATAGAAAAAGCTTAATGAAGAAAACACGAATTTAGATGATCAGTAATCTGTGTGTTGGAGTAGTTGAGTCGGGTTCACCGTTGAGTATGATGTTTGGTGTTGTGCGATCGCGCTTGCTGTCTGGAAACAACAACTGTGAACCCTTCTTCTTCTGATGGTATATCAGCCATCCTGTTTAATTGTTGAACCAAAATAATTTATTTTTCCTGGGCCTTTAGCTGCATTTTGTGACCAAGCTCCTTTTGGAATAATATTGAAATTCAGCTTTAATGTTGGCAAGATAGTTATGATAATTTTTTTTTGATTCGTCTTCAACCTTTGCTTGATCAACCTCATTTTGTTTCGTCACTTCATCAACAAAAACAGCCTCAAGCTCTTCGTTCATAGAATCAAATTTTTTAAGACCTCTACCAACCTCTTCTTTATCAACCAGTGGCTGATGAAGAGAAAATTGAGTGACTAGATTCTCGGTAGATATAAGACTCTCGATATCAGCTTTAAATAATATCTCAGAAATGGAAAAATTATGAGAAGAATTATTTTCGACCCTCGCATCATATTAGGTCGATCTCTTATCTCTCTACGGAGGGAGTATTGATATGATAATATTTGACTTAATTATAAAATATCTTCAATATTGTTTGTTTTGGGTTTGGGACAAGTCTTACGCGAATTCAGATCGAAGAGAACTTCGGGGGATAATTTCTCATTCATTTCAAAATATTTTTCTACAAATAATAGTATGTATATGATATGAGATGAGATGTGAGTCCTTACATATTTTAGGTGCAAAGTGACCAAAATATCATTTTGTATTTCCAACACAAATAAAGAATCACAAATAAAACCCATATCAAACCAATAATGAATTTTTTTTTGAACGGAACCAATAATGAATTTAACTTCCATCATTTGTAATGGAGCCAAAGATTCACTATTTTTTTGCTTGAGAATATGATGGAATAAAGCAAAATGGCTCACTAAAGTCCGTCTCCATCAAAATGCAGTCCATGCAAGTTTAGCCGTGATTTTCACTATGGGTCATCCGGAAAGAGTCTCTTAACTTTATGCTTTAGTACAGGGATAAGACTGCTTACATTCAACCCCTTTACTCTACCATAGGTGGGAGCCTTTGTGGCACTGATGTAATGATGATGAAGATGATGAACAAATAATGAATTTAGAAATCACAGAAACCCGTCTCCATCAAAATGCACCATATATGTGTTTTCGTTGGAAGACATCGCTCAATTAATCCCCAACTCCCAAGAATCCACCTCAAACCCTTGAGTGAAGTAAATCGGGTTCACTAGCTTGAAAATCAACTAGCTAGGTTATCAACACTCATATATACACCATCGTGTACAAGAAGTCACGAAATTAATGAATTGCTACTCTTTTTCCCATTAAAACAATTAATCTGTGATTATACTCATTTTCGTATTTTCATCTAATTTAAAGTTGAAAAAGTCCGATGAGACGGAGATATATAGACAAGAATTTGTATCTGTCACTGTTTGTACATAGTACATAGTACAGATGTGGAAAATGAAGACTGAGTCTCAATAGTGAATGGGTTAATAAGGAAAAAAAAAATCCTTCCGTTTCAAAAACAAGATCCACATTTGACTTCACACACATTAAGAAAATAAATTTGACTTTATTGTGAAGTGCAATGTTTGACACTGTTTGAATACTGTTTGACACTGTTTGAACACTGTTTGACATTATTTTGATGTAAATAATTTGCCAAATAAAGAAATGTTTGAAAATGGAACTTAATTTTGAATCTTTTCTAATCATTGCAAGTACGGAATAGTAAAAATAAAGTAATTGTAAGGGTTAATAAGGGTTACTGGGGTCGGCGGCTTTGTTTCCATATAATAATGTACCAACTACCAAGCCTGCCAACAATAGTAATAGTAATAAAGACGGGAGCATGTACCGTTAGCTATTTGTGATGATAATATTTCCTCCGTCCCAAATTGAATTGCAAATTTTGATTACCACAAAAATTAAAGAATGATAATAAATGATGTTTGTTTTTTACACTTTTACCCATCTTCCTAAAAGTAGATGTCTTTAAAGTAATGGAAAAAGAGTAAAAGTAAGGGCAAAGTTGTCACTTTATTCTTATTTACGTATCTAAAAAAGAAAGTGGAAAATCATTTTGGGTCAACCAAAATAAGAAATTTTGAAAATCAACTTGGGACGGAGGGAGTAATAATATGGTTGATCACTTTCATGATCACTGGTACGGTTATTAAGAAAAATAGAATTATGTGATTGATATTAAATTAGTAAAGTAAGAATAAAGTAAGAAATATTTAAATCAAACAAAAATTATCAAGTTTTGTATGAGGCAATATTAACCGGATAAACAAAAAGGCAGATGATGAGACAAATGTAGCGGGACAGATGAACGGTATCTATTTGTTGTTACTCCCTCCGTCTCGGGAAATTCTTCCCGGGTTGACTTGGATTGAAGTTTAAGAAAGTGGGAATAAAGTGGAAATGTATGATTGTGGTTGAGTAAGAAAAATGAAAATGAATAGTAGCCACACAAACCTTTCCAAAAAAGGAAATGAGAAGAATTTTTTGTAACATCACAAAAAGGTAAATGGAAATGAGAAGAATTTTTTGTGACGAGGTAGTACTCCCTCCGTTGCTATTAAAACTTCCAATTTTTTGTACTATGGAGTAATTTATTTGTTGTTAGGTATAGATGGATTTGTTGTCGTTATAATAATAATAACTTTCATGATTTTGAGGGCTACGCCCACCTCGTGGTCTTTTATTTATTTGTTGTTAGGTATAGATTTACTGTATCCAACTAAATTCATTACGGAGTACGAGTATCATTTATGTCGGAAAATAGCTCAAAATGATGGACATGCATTAAACTAAACATACTCCGTATTATATTGAGCTCTCTATAGTCTGTAAATTTAAAAACGTAATTATAATGACTAAAAGTTGTTATATAAGTCACTTTTTATCAATTATACTTAAGAGGCCAATTTTGGATGACATTAGATCAGATGGAAGAAGACGCAGCTCACAACATATTATTATTGTTAGAGTTAATTACTCATATAGGATAAAAGACTCACCAAATGCTAAAATAGGAGTGCTTTCTTAAGTAATGTTTAGTAGGACTCATTTAAGCATGAGTGGACCATAATAACCTTATTTTAAATAAGGCAAACACATTTCATTAAAGCAGAGGAAATTCATAAAAGTTCCAAATCTCGGTAAAGGTGTTCACCAAATACTTAGAATAATTCAAAATGCAGCCTCCCACACCGGCGTCGCTGTCCGCCGCCATCATCCACCACTACCATCATCCACCGCTGCAGCCACCCTCCGCCACCAACCTCCTACAGCGCTGCCTACTGCCTCCCCTCGCCGGTGACTGGCGGCACCGGCGCCTGCCGCCGCATCCCTGCCGGTACATCGTTGCCGCCCTACCGGTGTTGCCATCCTCCGCCGCCGTTACAACTCCGTTGTTGTCCCCAGTGTTAAATCTAGCACCACCACTACACCTTCAAGCACCGTCGCCACCGTCACAAGTCCAGTGTCGTAAATCTGCCATTAGGTTGGCAGATTTAGCCTTGGAGATTAATTACAGATCTGCCATTAATATGAAGTTTCAGATATGTCAAAAAGTGGCAGATTTATCTTGGAAGAAGACCACAAACTGCCATAATTTTGGCAAAAATATGAAATTTTCAAACAATATTCGATTTTTTTTATAAATGGAATAAGCACTCTAAAACAATAAAAAATCAGAAATACGAAGCTAGTTACAAAACTTCAGAAAATTCGATTTACACAAAAAAAAATCTGCCATAAACAATTCTCAGTGTGCACATTTATGCAATAAACTTGGCAAAATGTTATGCTATCGTCCAAAAATTAAGAAATCGAAAATTTTTGAAAGTAAGAAAGTTGAAATCGAAAATACTAAATAGAATGTGAAAGCCAGTAAAATCTATGTCAAAACTCAGAAGAAGAAAAAGAAGAAAAAGAAGAAGAAGGAGAAGGAGAGGGAGAAGGAGAAGGAGAAAACTGGCCGACATGGAAGATGGCTAGATCGATTCGCAGGGGAGAAGAGGAGTGCGGTGGAGACATCAACGACATGCGGTGGAAATAGCGGCGGCTTCTAGTGAAGTCGATAGATCTGCACGGAGAAGAAGAGATGATGCGTAGAAGACAAGATGGAGAGAGAAGATGTGGAGAAGATGAGATGCAGAGAAAAGGAGATTGACGTAGATTGACGCAGAGAAGGGGAGAGAGAAAAGTAAATAGGTGCAGGGGTAAAAACGGGTTGCTAATTTTTGTATGTTTCATAATAGGAGTAAATTGGTCCTATTTGAGAGAGAAAAACATAAGAAGTCCTATTTTTGAATTTTACCCAAGTTTTACTCTTATTTAGGATAATTTCTATTATTGTTATTGTTTTCTTGAACTGACATATTATTATTGTTCAATTAACAAATAATTAGGAGTATTACTATTAATTTAATCAGCACTATATAACAAACAATGACGTTTATGTATAAAATCAATAAAAATTTCTATCATTTGCAATGGAACCAAAAATTCACTAATTTTTGGTTTGGAAATACGACGGAATAAATCAAAATGACTCACTAAATTGTATACGCTTCTTTGTTATGAAAAGCAGTTGAGCAGTCAGTCGATGCAATTTTCGACGTTTTTCATCACGGGTCATCTGGAAAGAATATAATCTCTACGT